CAAGTTCAAAGACAAGATTGTCAAACTGAAGGATGAAAAATCCAAAAAGGAATCGATTAAATTGTTTCACAAGTTTGGTTCTCCCTCATCATTGTCTTTCTGTTGTATGAGTCAACCTGCCTTTCGAAGTATAATAATGAAACAGACGTTGGCAAATAATGTAATGATGGTACTCGTCAAACGAGTGGGTGAATGTTATTCGTCCTATCCACATTCTATTGGCGAACTACTCGATGAATATAAGAACTTGCAAACTGAACCAACGGGAGTAACCGATCGTGCTATAAAACACACAATTGAAATCATTTCCGGAAGTAAGATTCCCAAAGGACCGATCTATCGAATGTCTCTAAGGGAATTAAAGGAACTGAAAAAAAAACTGCAAAAACTTACAGAAAAAGGATGGATTCGACCAAGTTCCTTTCCCTATGGTGCACTTGTCCTATTCCTACCTTAAAACGAAGGAGGACTTAGATTGTGCATTGACTACCGATGACTGAATTTCGTAACTATTAAGAATGTGGAATCACTTCCTGGTACTGATGATCTTCTTGATCAACTGCAGGGTTGCAAGTACTTTCAGAACAAGGTATAGGCACTACGAGTTTGTTGTTATGCCTTTTGGATTGACTAACGCCCCCGCAACCTTTCAGAGATCAATGAAGGAACTGTTTAGGCAGTGGCTAGATCAATTTGTAGTGATGTATCTTGACGACATCGTTAGAAAACCATTAGAAACACCTACGAATGGTTCTAGGAAAGCTTTGAGAAGGTAACTACAAGCTAAATCCTAAGAAATCAGAATTTGCTAAGTCTGAAGTACTCTATCGTGGAGACCTAGTGAATGAAGAGAGACTAAGGCCCGAAGAAAAGAAGATCACCGCAATCAAAGATTGGCCCAGACCTAAGATTGTCAAAGAGTTGCGATCTTTCTTAGGACTTGCTAGCTATTATAGGAAGTTTGTGAGGAACTTCTCCCTTATAGTTGCACCCATGAGGAGATTACTGAAGAAGAAAAAACCTTGTTTATGTGACAAAGATTGTGAGTCCGTGTTTAAGAAGCTTAAACATGCGTTAACTCATTACCCTATCTTAAAGATTGTTGATCCATCACTTCCCTTCATTGTTGCAACTGATGCTAATCACTATGGGATTGGGGTTGTGCTATAACAAGACGACGGGAAAGGCTATAGACCCATCGAGTTCATATCTAAATGTCTTCCATTTAACAAGGTAGCTAACTCCACCTACGAAAGGGAATTATATGCCTTAGTAGAAGTACTGGACATTTGGAAACACTACTTGCTCGGACGACACTTCACAGTTTACTCAGATCACTCAACCCTGAAGTGGATTAAGACTCAACCTCGACTCTCAGACAAGTTAGTAAGATGGTTTGCATTTATTGACACATTTGACTTTGAGTTGAAAACCATAAAAGGAAAATCTAACGTTGTTGTTAATGCTTTGTCCAGGCGATCTGATTTCTTTGGTACGATTGTTACCTATCTGGACATCGGGAATGAGCTACAGGACCGAATTCATAAAGGGTATGCTGGTATCCGATTTGGAACCCTATCATCCAAACCCTTCAAAAGAATCCTGAACTCTTTCCATCTGAGCGACCAGAGGCTGGTCAACCTCAAGTCAACTCTACAAGTTGACCCATCCCCTGTTGACCGACATTCAGTCTTGCACTTGCTGCTTGACGTTGGCTGGACGCTGGCACAACGCTAGCTCGTCACTGGCTCTGCGTTGGCTTGACATTGCACAACGACGCGAGACTGCTCTACGGCTACTTGATGTTGGCGCCCTCTGTCTTTGACGCCAACTGGACCAGACCATGTTGACATGCATTGGCCACTTTGACTAAGCGAGGAGGAGGATCAGGGTTGCGAGATTGTGGGAAGCTTACCTTTCTGCGACCGATCATTGTTGCACATTGTTGTTCGTCTTCAGATGTTGTCTGCCCTGACAAGCGATGTGATGAGACATGCGCTTTGTTAGATTGTGTAAGAGGGGACTGTCTGCTCATTTGGCGAAGGGAGATGCCGAAGGAGAATGGGGTTCTGAGGGAGACCTATCTGCTAAGCTGATGGTTTCTCGTCCACCTTCTAAGTCTCCTCTCTCCTCTCATCTTCTTCTGAGGTGACGTGACAGTGGGCTACCTGATTACTTGTACAATTTTTGGAGACATTGTATTTGCGCTGCGGCATACAGCATCTTGACATTGATGAGCTTCTCTCCTGACTGGGTTCATTGCAGTAGTATATACTTTGGCTGATAATGAGATGAGTTTTCCTGCCCGTCACTTAGCGTTCGACGATTTTTGTGGCAAAATAAGGAAAACCACCCATGCTCGCTCGCCTGCCAGCCCGCCCACCCACCCACGGCCGCTTGCCCGTTGGGCACCACCCACCCACCCACAGACACACGCACACCCGCCCACCCACCCACCCACCCACGCACGCATTGGTGTTGATAACTGTTGCATTAAGGAAGTCATTTGTACCTGTCCTATCATCCTATGGAGTCGGCGAGAGTAGACATAAGTTGTGATTTCTTGTTAGCGATGATCTGCCATTTGATATGATTTTGGGTATGTGGTATCTAGAGTAGATTGAGTGGGACCGCATCACATTCCACACGGAAGGACTGTGCAGATCATAAAATAATCTCCTAGTGGAAAAGGGGAATCCTACAGAGTCTGTGTGCTGCGGATGTCATGAACTACTACCTGCAAAATCCGGAAGAAAGGTATGTACCTCGTATTTGTCTCCAAAGGGTCAAGCCAAACACAACCCATCGAAGATAGACAGGATCATAGAAGAGTATCTTAGACTCGTTTGAGAAAACAGGGGTTGTAGATAGGGAGAGAGTAAATTCAATAGAAATTATGCCAAGGACCAAAGAGTAAAGTTCCTTGAGTTGTCTTCTTAGCTCATCTATATGATGTCCCCTGCAGAGCTAGATGAGCTAAGAAGACAACTCAAGGAACTGACAGACAACAGCTGGATTAGGCCTTGTACCTTGCCTTATGGGTCTCCTGTACTATTTTCTACCCAAGAAGGGAGGGACACTGAGCATGTGCATTGACTACAAGGACCTCAATGCCATCACTGTGCGTAACGCAGGGGCCCTACCTCACATCGATGACCTCTTGGACAACGTGCATGGATGTAAATACTCCAGCACGGTAGACCTAAAGTTCGATTACCACCACATACAAATATGCCCCGAGAATCAATACAAGACTGCATTTCAGACCAAGTATGGTTTTTATGAGTTTGTGGTGATGCCAATGGGGCTCTGTGGTGCAACCCGTACATTCCAACATGGTATGAACAGAACGGCGCTGGCTGGTGCTGGGGCGTAGCCCTGTAACCTGTTTTTCCAGGAGCTTGAGACCTGGTAGAGAGATCTGGGAATTTGTCAAGGGTGGAAGACAATCCAATGGCTAACCGGAGGCGGCCGTCAAGACAACGAGGGTCGGAGCTGGGGTGGGTAGCGCTGCCCTGTAGCCTAGTATGTTGGGGGCGTGAGACCGGGTATAGGCCTGGTAGTGAGAACAGGACAGCTAACGTTGGTTTCAGTTAGGCCTATGGTGTTACTTGGAATGGGGATGTTTGGTTGATGTGAGGCTAGAAGAGGTTGATCAATTTCATAGCATGTTCTGTAGCATCCCCCAGTATTAAATCATCAGTAATCATCAGGAATCATCAGCAATCAATCAGTAATTCATGGATAGCTTCAAGCTTCTACAGATACTGGATCCAGGTTTCTAGTAGTGGTGGAGGCTCATTCGATGCCAAGACAAAGCTGTAATGTTTAGTGGTCTGGGTTAGCCAATGTCAGAACGATGCTAGCCAGTGCTGGGGCATTCGCCCTGTAACCTGTTTAGGCAGGGGCAAGAGGCCTGGTAGAGAGATCTGGAGATTCGTCGAGGGTGGAAGGCAATCCAGTGGTGGCCAACCGGGGGCTTCTGACAGGACAACAATGGCCGGAGCTGGGGTGGGCCGCACTGCCCTGTAGCCTAGCATGTTGGGGGCTTAACGCCAGGTATAGGCCTGGTATTAGAACAGGACAGCTATCGATGGGTTCGGGTAGGGCTACAGCGTCACTTGGAATGTGGGGCTCGGTAGAAGTGAGGTTAGAAGGTGTTCAGGATTTTCATATCTTTTTTGAAATGTTTCTCAGCCGAAGCCACGTAATGGCCCCGGCATCCTCAAATGTTAGTGCCATCTTATAAGGGACGCTGGGCCCAGTTCCCAGCACGTGTTGCTCCCCACGAATAGATCGAGGCATATTAAAAAAAAAAAAAAAAAAAAAAGAAGACAAGTTTAGTAGTTTACTGTTGTCTATCTCGAGATATGCATTTCTTCAGGAAGACTTTGGAGGAGCATGTAGAGCACCTAAAAATAGCATTTGATCTCCTCCTCTGAAAGCACGGGTATAAGATCAACAGAGACAAGCATGAATTTGCACACACGAAGGTCTTATGTTTGGGTTATGAAATCTCTGAGGATGGGCTGGCCTGAGGCCAAAGGATGCAAAAGTGGCGGCCATCTCTCAAACTGTAACTAAGGTGATGACAAGCTACTACAGACCGTTTGTAGAAAACCACAGTATTATAGCCTGCCCCTTGACTAATCTCACTCAAGGAGATGGAGGGAGAAGACGGAAGGGGGAGACAGAGGGAGGAGACGTAGGGAGGACATGGAGGGAGGGAGATGGAGGGAGAGATGTGGGGGAGAGTTCAGACGGAGGAGACAAAGGGACGAGACGGAGGGAGGGGATGGACGGAGGGAGAACGGAGGGAGGAGATGGAGGAAGGATGAGGAGAGGGAGGAGATGGAGGGAGAAGATGGAGCGAGGAGATGGAGGGAGGAGGAACATCCAGATGTCGACCCGAGATTGACTCAAATAGAGAGTGAACTTTGCAAGGTTTAATTTTAGGCTTCTTTCCGGTGAGGAGTGGATGAAGGAGAGAGTTCACCAACCCTGCTCTTGCAGTATGCCTCAAGTATCTCTGCGAGAAGCGGTCTAGACGGCAACAACCCCTTGGAGACGGATGGTGATATTCCAAGCTCCTCTTCAAGCTGTGATCTCTTCGCATACCTGGGAGGCTTCATCCACACAGATGAAGGAGAGAGCCATGAAGAGCCAAGGGTGCATCTCCGCATTCACATCACACGTACAGAGACAAATGAGCGCGAGCACACACACACACACACACACACACACACACACACACACACACACACACACACACACACACACACACAGTTTCAACAGCTCCTGAGCAACTGGTGTTTTGGCACACTTCACATTCACTGTCATTCAGGACAAGTCTAAGTGGGTGAACAGCTCTCCAGCTCAAAAGCATCCAGCAGATCAACTTTACGATGGGCTCGATCCCTGGACCTCATGCAGCGGAGGTGAAATGAGGAAGTCTGAAATATTTTTAATCACGGCATTTATGAACTGTACAGTATCTCAGAGAAGCATTTGCCCATTAATCCAGCAATTGCGGCAAAGATTAGATCTAAAAATTTAAAATTACTTTGAAAAACAGCCACCTCTGTGCCAAATTTGTCATATCAGTCGCCCCAACTCTTTCACTCGTAAATTTAAAACGCTTTGTTGAGCTAGTTTTGACTGCTGCTATTTTCACAGTCTTGGAAACCAAATCATGAGATACCCACTCCCCCTCCCCTCTCTTGTGGTGTTTTTTGACATTTTTGATGTTCTTTCTTACACTGAAACTCTGAAAATGCAATTATATAAAAAAAAAGTTAAAAAAAAAGTTAAAAAAAAGTTAAAAAACAGGAAACATGCTGCCCCTATCAAGAAAATAAAGACATCATGAATCATGATGTGATAAAATCCGAGTTTTCTGTTTTTTGTTTTTCTTTTTTGTATTAACTGGTGAGAACACTCATAGATGTCGCATGTTGACGAGTATGTACTTGCTGCAACTGTGCTGGGGTGGGCGAATGTCATGGCCGGTATGACTTCAGTTTTGAACACCAGGTCACAGTTGCAGTGGTAAGGCATCTGGCTGTTATAGCCGAGCTCAGCGGTTAGATTCCATTTGGCTGCGGAACGAACAGGGCTACAATGACAAACTTACCAACAATGTACGAGCGCAGTAACCAGCCACGGGTGGTGTTGCGTGCTGCGCCTGCACACGGGCCCCATTTGAGGGGCCCGACGGTTGCTGAGGGGCCCCCAGGCCGCGAACCATACAGCACGCGCCCTGGAGGCCCACAGCGGCCCTTCAGGCCCTAGGTAGCACACTAGTTAGATAGGTTTAGTTTACTTACCTTTTTGTGTGTGTGTGCTGTCTTACTTTGTCTGTTCAGGTGCCGTTTCGGACTTGCAGCCCCAAGGCCGGACCTTGGGACTGGGTACACCGGAGGCAGGCCCGAAACGAGGCCAGGCGCGGCGCATTTTGGCGCCAGACCGGTAGGTACATGCGTTGTTTCGGTCCTGCAGGTCCCAAGGCGACGCCTTGGGCTAGGTGCACAGGTACCGGGCCATTTTTAGGCCAGGCGCATTTCTGCGCCTTGCTGCATCAGCAGCATGGTCTGGATGTCCGGTAGGGACCCAGACCAGCTGGGCCGTTTCCTGAGGCCAGCATCAGGTAGGCCCAGCCCGCCCAGCGCTACAAATAGCTGGGCAGCGGCTGGGCAAGGGACAGGTCGGGTAGCTCACTTCTGGAGCGACACGCTGCTGGTTGAAGGCAGCGCTATTTGGCGCTGCGTTGCGGAATAGGGAGTAGAGGCGTAGGAGGTAGAGAGAGGCGGAGGCCTTACCTGCAAACGGCGAGCTTACCTGGCGCCATAGCCGGGCTCCACGCGGTACCTGCACACGACGACAACCACAGTCAGTACGGTGACAGCTACCTACAGGTGAGATAGCAAGGAGGACATCATCTTCTTCTTCCTCCTCCATCTCTCTCTCTCGCTTCTTCTTCTTCCTCCTTCCTCCTCCTTCTCATCTTCTTCTTCACCTACGAGAGTGAGAGAGGTTATCCGTAGGAGGTACAGGCAGGGGTTATGTTGGGCACATTGCCCAGGATCTGATTCGACATTTCTGGGACAGACATTGATTGGACACTCGGCAAGGGGCTTTTTTGGGACTTCGCTATCGTGATCTTGGTCTACTCCCTCGCCTCCTTCTCCTTCGTCTCGTCCCCCTTCCCCCCTCTCTCATCCGTGGTATCTCCCCATGTATGTGTGTGAAGGAGGGACCTTTCTTCTGTGATTGCGGTCCCTCCTCCCCTCTCACATGTGTGATGTATGATGGATGTCGGGTCAGTCCAGATCAGATCAGATCTTCTCTTTCAAGTTCTCCGCTGCGCCACTTTGTGCCATCTTGTATGTATCGGAATGTACATTGCTTGTTGATGCTACATTGTCCATTTCAGTCCTTTTCATCACATTGCGGATCCTTGGCTCCCTACGCATTGTCCCATTGGGCATGCGTCAGGTGGTTACCTGGATGATGGTGGCTGTGTGGATGCTGGCACCTGCGGAGAGTCTTGGATTCTGCATGGATGCTGCTGCCTGCGGAGGACCTCATGGATGCCGCGTGTTGATGAGTAAGTCCTTGCTGCAACTGTGCTAGGTTGGCCTGGATGTCAGGACCACTATAGCTTCGGTTTGGAACACATCGGGTCACAGTTGCAGTGGTAAGGCATCCGTCTGTAATAGCCAAGGCCATTGGTTGGATTCTGTTTGCCTGCGGCACAATCAAGGCTACAACGAAAAACTTACCGATACGTTTGGCATACCTCAAAAAACTTCAAAAAAGAAAAAAAGAAGAAGAAAACAAAGATACCATCAGTGTTTTTGAACTTTTCCCAATTTATTACTACAAACCAAATCAGGCTCTAATCTTGTCTGACAGTTACCTTATGCTGGCTTACAGTTAGTATATGTGCATAACTATCTAATAACAATCTTTGTTTGAGTCTCTGAAGATAGGAGACCTTAGGCTTATTCGTTATACGCGTTCTTCCTACCTTTGAAGGAGTGCGAGTCAATCAACTCTATTCAATAATAAGTTATTAATAACTCACAACTCCGAACAGTAAAATCACGAGATGTTCATCCCTCGCCTCCCCTTTTGTTGTGGTGCTGTCCAGCGCTCGATCTCTGGATCTCATGCTACGTACCCGAGGTTTATATTTTTCTTGCTGTCTCTGGTACCAGCATGTTTAGATTTTTTCTACCCCTCACTGCCCTCAGACAATTTCTTTTGGTCCAGCAGAGTCTGAGTCGTGTCCATGTGTGTGCAATGACTTGCTGTTTTCTGCCGCCGGTGACCCGTCGACCTGAGGCTGTAACATTGGTAGGCTATATTTGTAATTTTTTTTGGCTGAGGGCTAACCGAGAGACCTGCCTGTAAGGAAAATTCGTGAGGGACATATCTGCCAATTCGGGAAAATATAGGCCCACACTAACTGAACTTTCCTACAGTTACCCTAACTGCGAATAGCAGGCCCGGGCTACCCCTACGACGGACAGGCCCTAGTGGCCTATGCCAATAGACGGTCCTATAGCCTATAGCCGGGTAGGGAGAGGCCGAGAGGCCGAAAAACGGTACCGGTCGGTCCAGTCAGTCCGGTCTAGGTCTAGGAAAAAGGGTTGGGGGCTTTTGGCGGTTGGTATCGTGTACGTCACGGCTGTGCAACGCATGAACTGGGTTGGTGACAGTTGCAGCGTTGGAGGAGACAGACATAGCCGGACCTGCAGAGCGTCGGCCATGGCTGGAACCTGCGCTGTACTCTGACAGCACGTGGGGCTGTTCAGAAGTCCGGGCTATCTGAAGTCTGCTGGAGGCAAGTGAAGTTGGTGCCCTGCTGAACCCTCCTCAGGAGTAGGGTTTCAGGGTGTTTGGCGCTGCACCCATAGCTGCAGCTTTTTCCCTCAGAGCTCCTCTTTGTCAGGAGAGGTGGCGCTGCTACAGACTTCCACCCGGGAAGTCCTCTGGCACTTCATCATCATCAGATACTGTGGCGCTGGTCTTCTTCTTCATCCTCTGAGAGGCGCTTGGCCTCAGAGGCCTGTTTCAGGGTGGCGCTCCCCTCTGGAGTCAATACATGGGTGGCGCTTGATGTTTTAGGGACTCAGGGGTAGTAGTAGCGGTTACTCAGGGTTGGGGAGTGAAGCGCTGCTCACTTCTGAGCAGTGCACCAGGGTTCTGGGGTTATTCTGACATTTCGAGACTGTGTGTGGACTATCATTGCTTCATTGTTCCTGGATGTGATCTACTCGGCTTTCCTTTGTGACTGGTTGTGAGGATTCTGTGGAGCAAATTTCACTTTCAGTGTTTTCTGTCATATCGCATGGTCAAGTCTTCCGCTGTGTTTATCTCTCCCTGTGCGGTGTGATACTCCCATCCTCTCCCCTTCCTTCTGTGTATGTATGGGCATACCTGGAAATCTATGTGAGCGAGTGTTGGTCTTCTGACAACAAGCAACCAGGATCATAACATGTGTGTGCCCACTCCCTCTTCTTCCTCCTCCGCTGGATCCCGGGGTTGTCATACTGCTATCCGAGCGAGTTCATTTCCACCATCCCTCCCTCCCTCCTACCCCTACAACATGGCAGAGCTGTGGAGTAGCAATGTTGTGAAAGCATCTTTGTCATTTTCACGCTAGCTTGGTAGAAGAGGTCCACAGAGAGGTACGGTTTGAGCGCTGTGCATGTGTGTGTGCTCATTCCCTCTTCCTCCACCTCTTCTGAATCCAGTGCTTATCACACTGGTATCCAAGCGAGTCCATTCCCCCCCTCCCTCAGTATCATCTTCAGCCCCCCTGCTAGGAGCACTGTCTCGGAAGCATCTTTGTCAATTTTTGATGCTAGATAGGCAGGCGGTGTCCACAGGAAGGTGCGGTTTGAGTCATGTGCATGTGTGTGCGCTCGCTCCCTCTTCCTCCTCCTCCGCTAGATCCAGCGCTTGTCTTACTGGTATCCAAGAGAGTTCTTTCCCACCTTCCCTCCCTATCATCTTCAGGAGGCAGGGTTGTGGAGCAGCAATGTTTCGGAAGCATGTCTGTATTTTTTCACGCTAGTTCGGAAAATAGGGTCCATGGGGAGGTACGCAAGCTTCATCG